CTGCACTCCAGCCTGAGCAACAGAGCGAGACTCCGTCTCAGGAAAAAAAAAAAAAATGACACGTGCTTAGTAGATAAGGTTTGGTAGTTGGACAATTTGGGAAGGTTTAAAGAGGTTCCTTATAGTTTTGGCTTTAGATGCTGGTTTTGGTCTCTGTAATATGGAAGGGACATTTAACTAAAAACTTCAGGCCAGGCACCATGGCTCATGCCTGTAATCCCAGCACTTTGGGAGGCTGAAGGGGGCAGATCACTTGAGGTCAGGAGTTCAAGAGTAGCCTGGCCAACATGGCGAAACCCTGTCTCTACTAAAAATACAAAAATTAGCTGGGCGTGGTGGTTGCACGGTTGTAATCCCAGCTACTCTCGAGGTTGAGGCGGGAGAATCACTTGAACCCAGGTGGTGGAGGTTGCAGTGAGCCAAGATTGTGCCACCACACTCCAGCCTGGGCGACAGAGGGAGACTCCATCTCAAAATAATAAGTAAATAAAATATAAAATAAAAAGTGGGAACCTGCAGGTACTATATGTGGCTATAAGGTATTTTGTTACATTATGTAACTATCCATTTACATTGTGAAAGCTTGGGAAGTTACTTTAGGCCTTTCTGTTAACTAAATTACAGAAGAAAAAAAGTATCTGTTTATGTAGTTAAGACGTTGTTGTGTTCTCATTCATCAGGTAATTATTGAACATCTACCTACTTTCAGCATCTGCATGTGTGTGTGAATATTAAATATCACACCAAGACATTGTTCAGAGGAGACAGAATAGTGAGGTGAGATAAATGAGAATGTCTCTGTGGAAGATTAGACTGGAGCATGAACTTGAACTATGAGTAAGATTTGGATGGGATGGAAGTGGGTGGATGGGAATCACATTTGGAGATGATTAAATTCATAAAACTGGTAATATACAGTGCATCTTCAAGTGACAGTGAGGAGGAGACTTTTAAGGGTGGCATGATAGGTTCCTGTTTGGGTGGAGTGAAAGGTAAGGCTTTAAAGTAAATTGGGACTGTTGTATGGATGGTCATGCTATGTGGGGTTTAAATTTTTTCTTGTAAGCAAGTATTTGAGCAAGATCTTAATATGGTGTTTTACAGCTGGGCATGGTGGCGTGTGCCTGTAGTCCTAACTACTCGGGAAGCTGAGGTGGGAGGATTGCTTGGGCCTAGGAGTTTGAGACTGGCGTGGGCCAACATAGTGAGATCTCATCTCTAAAACCAAACCAAAACAAAACAAAATGGTGTTTTGGGAAAATAATTGTCTGGAATGGCTTGGAGAATCTTATTAGGACTAGAGGCAGAGAAACCAATTAGGAAGGTTTCATAATGATTGAAAAATGAATGAAAGGGTAGCATATATTGAATATCTGCTATGTGTAATGCAGTGTGCTAGGTTTTCATATGTATTATATATTATCTTTCACAGCAACCTTAAGAGGTTGGTGTTAATAAGCCTCTGGTTTTCAAGACACTGAATTTCAGTGAAGTTAATTTTTTTGCTCAAAGAGTCTGCTAACTTTTAGTGGGTATGCATAGATCTACTTCTTTCAAACAGGTACATGTTATATGGCAATACTGTACTTTAATTCCCTATTAATGGAAATCTGGGTTTCCATTTTTTAATTGTTTTACTAGTAATGCTACGATAAATATTCTTACACATATCTTTGTACATAGTTTCTAGTACTGTATTTCTGTGGAAGAAACTCCTAGAAGTGGAACTAAGTTCCTGGATTAAAATGGCCTTTAAAACAAATGATATAGGAGGGAGTATCCTGAATGGGTAATGGATCATGATTGTCGTGACAATTTTTAGAATCTTAGTTAAAGGTACAGTGTACTTGGTACTACATGAAAAACTAACAGAGCATATCCCTGCCAAGTATAACATAAAGCCATGAAATATTAGAATGAAAGGCCCTAAAATAATTAATTCCTTAATTTTACTGTTAAGGCTCTTGAAATCTAGAAAGTTTTTAGTGTTCCTGAAATAGAGCAGGGATTAGGATCTAGATACTCAGATTTTTCGTTTACTATTCTAAGTGTAGTGTTTTCCTTTCCTAAAGTAAATTTAAGGAGAAAACAACATTTACATTTCTTTTCTTTTTTTTATTTGAGATGGAGTCTCACTTTGTCACCCAGGCTGGAGTGCAGTGGCGCGATCTCAGCTCATTGCAACTTCCGCCTCCCGGGTTCAAGTGATTCTTGTGCCTCAGCCTCCTGAGTAGCTGGGACTACAGGCACCTGCCACCACGCCCAGCTAATTTTTGTCTTTTTAGTAGAGATGGGGTTTCACCATCTTGGCCAGGCTGGTTTGAACTCCTGACCTCATGATCCACCCACCTTGGCCTCCCAAAGTGCTGGGATTACAGGTGTAAGCCACCACACCTGACCCTATTTTGTATTTTCAGTAGAGACGAGGTTTCACCATGTTGGCCAGGCGGGTCTTGAACTCCTGGTCTTCAGTAATCCACCTGCCTTGGCCTCCCAAATTGCTAGGATTACAGGCATGAGCCACTGCGCTCAGCCCCACATTTCTTTCCACTGTGTTTGTGTGTGTGTGTGCATGTGCGCACGCCTCACATGCTTGTAAGTGCTGTTTTCTGCCATTTTTACTTAATATTACCTCATAATGGGTTATGAAATTTTGATGGATTCCAAAAGTATTAAATGTTTAGTTACCCTTTCTTTTCCTCCGCTCCTTTCCTATTAACCAAGTAAAGTGATAAACAGGTACATTCTTATGTTTAGATGAGTTAAGATGGGAAAAGAAGATGAGATTTTTATCTTTATTTAAAAAGAAAACGCGATGAGTTACAAAAAAAAAAAAAGATTTCAGAAACAGTGATCTGGAGGATATAGTCCACCCACTTTTTTTGCTATTTGTTTTAAATTGGTAATCTGGAATTATATTTTGTTGGTAAGGTATGGTTTAATTACCCATTCCTTATTGGGCATTTTGGCTTTTTTTCCAAATCTCAAAACATTTTAAATTTCCAATTACTTGTTGCTAGTATTATAGAGGTACAATTGATTTTGGATTTGGCTTTGTATCCTGAAGGATGAAGGAAAGGGTATAATATATACCGAATATCTTGTTAAACTCCCTAATTAGCTCTAGTAGCTTTAGGATTTTCTCTACAGATGATTGTGTCTATGAAAAAAACTTTTTACTTTTCTCTTTTCAATTTTTATGCCTTTGATTTCTTTTCTTTTCTTTTCTTTCTTTTTTTTTTGCCTTATGGTGTTGTCTAGGCCTTCAAACCCCATTTTGAATAGAAGTGGTAAGAGTGCAATGAAGTAAAAATAAATGCATAACAATGGTTTTCTTTTCCTCTGCTTTCTGAGTTTGTATAAATTGATGAATTTTCTTTTACCAATATGAAATGTCCTTTATCTCCAGTAATAATACTGTCTCAAAGTCTGCTTCATCTAAAATTTACAGCTTCTCCAGCTTTCTTATAGTGTTTTTACATACTATATTTTTTCTTTTAACATAAATTTCCTTTATAACATACTTTCACCTTTACTTTTAATGTAAATCTTTGTCTCTTAAATAGCATGTAGTTTGGTGCTGCCTTTTTTTAAAAAAATTTATTCTTACAGTCTCTGCTTTTTAAGTAGGGTGTTTAGTCCATTAATATTTACAGTTATTTATATGGTTAGGTTTATATTTTTATCTTGCTGTTATTTTTTTTTCTTCCCTTTTTTGGCATTCTTTTGGATTGAGTGTTTTTTAGCCCATTAATCTTTGGTTCTTTAGCTGTATACCTTTGCATTCATTTTTTAGTGGTTTCTCTAGGGATTACAATATACACTGCTAACTTTTCATGGTGTTCCAAGAATTAATATTACAGAAATAAACGTTTATATTTGACAACTATGAAACCAGACTTGGTAATTTTTATAGGGTCTCGTCTCCTACAAGCAAGTTTTCCTTGTTTGTCACTCCACTTAGTGAAGTTCTGAATATAATGACAAAAACTCTAGGGCAAAAATCTTGGTGACTTATTTTGAATTAAAGCTATTTCTCTTCATTCTCATTGTATTTGTACCAAAATTCAACATTGCAGCCCTTGATAGCATGCAAGGGAGTTAGATAACAGGAAGCCAAAAGCTCTATTTAGATACTCTGCATATTTTCTTCAAAGTCTAGAATTTGCACATCCTTCAGAGTTGAATAACAAGAAGCAAAAAGGATCATTTACTCACTTTTATTTTGATTTAATCTGGTCCAGAGAAGGATTTCATGATCAGGTCCAGGTTGTCCTGAGAATTTTCTCAATGGACTACATAAGTCTCCTCAGTGAAGTTCTTTGGCTAGCCTTAGCCTGCTTTTCTTACAAATTAGAAATCACATGTACCTAAAGTATTTTTTTCTAGTTCTATATTTGTACTGTCAGTACTTTTTGAAATTTTTTTCTTAAAATACCTTACCAAAGTTCTGAAAGTAGTTTCTAGCCTTAGCATCATAAATTGTCAGATGCATAAGAAAACTTGATAGTCTTTTCAGTATTCAGATAGAGGGTCAACTGAATATTGGTTTCCAGTTATAACAACATAAACATCTGTTAAAACCTGTAACACCTATGAACAGTGATATGCTACATTATGGATCTCAGTGATACTCATTACTGGTTGTATAATCTTGACTAAGGCCTTTAATTACAGAGGAGAATTCAGGTAAAATGGAGATAATACCTGCAGTGCAAGTTTTTTAAATTAGGGGTAATGTACACAAATGCATAGTAGTACCTTGTACACAGTTGGTACTCAATAAATGGTTATTATATCTATGTAAAATCATAGAATGTCAGCACTAGAAAGGATGTTAGAAATTACCCAGATAGGGCCGGGTGCAGTGGCTCACGCCTGTAATCCCAGCACTTTAGGAGGCCAAGGCGGGCAGATCACTTGAGGTCAGGAGCTCGAAACCAGCCTGGCCAACATGGTAAAACCCCGTCTCTACTAAAAATACAAAAATTCACTGGGCGTGGTGGCACGCACCTGTAATTTCAGCTACTCAGGAAGATCAGGCAGGAGTATCACTTGAACCTGAGAGGTGGAGGTTGCAGCGAGCTAAGATTGTGCCACAGCACTCCAGCCTGGGCAACAAAGCTAGACACTGTCTCAAAAGGAAAATAAATTACCCAGATAATGAAACCAGTTCAGAATGGTTAAGTGACTGTTACTGCCCTCCATCCCCTGCCACATAAGGGTGTAGGCTCTTTGAGAATAGGGATGTTTTATCTTTTATTTTGTGCTTTATAGAGCACAGTGATGGACTTTAGATACTTGCTTCATTAAGTACATTTCAGACATACTACAATGTCAGATAAATTGTTTTTATTTGATTTAAAATTATTGATAAACCTTTGAGAGTCACATAGCTCTAAGAATATACATTAGTGAAAATGTAATTTCAGGCTTGTCTAGTTATTAATAGAAATGAAGCAAGGAGTTTTAGAAACATGGATTTCTAAATTTGTATATTCAGTACTAGGAATGCTTTCAAGCAGGCATATTTAAGTTGTTTCTGTGTAGTTTTTTAGCTATGTCATCATAGTCAAATGCTACTGCATGGTGAATTCCTTCCTTTTGCCATAACTGTTTTCTTTAGTCCTCATCTAAAGTCTGCTATGCACACTTACAAACATCTCAACCAGTGGACTTACTTTTAATTTTTAAATTTCCCTTTTGAGCATTTTTACCCATTAGAAGGATTGGTACTTCATGAGTTTTATTCTTTTGTAGAGGTCTTCTAAAGAACAGAGAGGAAAAAAAAAAAATAAAGAATAGAGATAAAATTTTACTTACATGTTTTTTAATAGAATAAAACTCATTTTATCTTGTAATTACCATATGGACCACTTTGTAAATCTAAGAAGCATTTGGGGATATTACTGGTCTTGTTTTACCTATATATTGAAGCATTTTGTTATTTCATCCAGGAAATTATTGTATCAGTACTCATCAAAACTGTACTTACAAAAAGGAGGCTAAAATAAAAAAAAGAAAAATGTTGGAATTGGCTAGAGTAGAAGTGGACAAACTTTTTTGTGAAGGGTCAGTTAGAAAATATTGTAGGCATTGTGGGCTACATATGATCTCTGTGGCATATTATTCTTCTTAAACAACCTTTAAATATTCAAAAACCATTCTTAGCTCCCATATCATACAAAATAGGTTGTGGGACCGATTTGGCCTGTGGACCTTGGTTTGTCATTGCATTAACATACAATTTTCATATTGCATTGCCCAAAAGATTATGCCATCTTTTAAGTCATATAAAAGGAGACTGGAGACACCATCTTTATGGTCTCTTTTTAGCTTTTATTGAACAGAATGTAAATTCATACTTTTAAATATTTTGGTCATAATGGCAAAGAGAAGAAAATTGACAGAGGAAGAAGTTTCACAATTATTAGACAAATCAGAAAATGAATACAAAACGGTAAATTCTATACTGATGACGATGGTAAAGTGGATCATATAAGCAAAAATACCTACTATGAATCTTCAAATAAGATCTCATCTTCTGAGTTTTCTCAACTAAAACTTTGATGATTGAACAGTATATTTTTAAGGATCAAGAGAAAATATGAGGCCAGGTGTGGTGGCTCATGCCTGTAATTCCTGCACTTTGGGAGGCCGAGATGGGTGGATCACTTGAGGTCAGGAGTTCCAGATTGGCCTGGCCAACATGGTGAAACCCCGTCTCCACCAAAAATTTGAAAATTAGCTGGGCGTAGTAGCATAGGCCTGTAATCCCAGCTACTTGGGAGGCTGAGGCATGAGAATTGCTTGAACCCGGGAGGTGGAGGTTGCGGTGAGCCGAGATCGTCCCACTGCACTCCAGCCTGGGCGACAGAGCGAGACTCTGTCTCAAAAAAAAAAAAGAAAAAAAGAAAAAAAAGAAAAGAAAATATGGTATTCTACTCAGTCATTTAAGAGGAAGGAATTTCTCACACAATATTTTGTCATAGACAAGTAGTAAAGGATGTGTTCTGCTATTCTTTTATCTCTTATATTTGTGCTCCAAAATAGACTGGATATGGTTTTATAAGTAGACAAATGCTGAAAGTAGGGGTGTGTACAAAAGTGATTGGAAGGAAATAGGTGTCAAAATGAAAAATCATTGGCTTGATTATTCTAAATAATGGTTTTAAATCTAAAAATATTTTGCAAAATATAGATCAGAGGATAGCAATCCTTACTTCAACAAATTGTGAACCATTAAAAGTTTCAAAACTTCAAGCTTTCAGGTATTATATTTTGCCAATGTAGATGCCAAAAAAAGAACAAGGTATAACCATAAGCTATAACTTATTAGATATCTGACTTATAACATTTATAAAATGGATATGTTCCATAAGATGGATGTGTTCCATGTTTATCCATGATGGTTGATAGGCAGTTGTATTCACAGGACATAGCCCATTTCGGCTCTATCTTAAAAACAAGGAAAATGTGAAATGACTATCTGGATTTGCTGTATTTAAATACTTAGAAAAAAATCTAATAATGTTTTCCACTATATCCTGATTCTTCTCAACATTCTCTGTAAAATATGTGTGTGTGTGTGTGTGTGTGTGTGTAAAGTTTCCGTTAGATGCAAATAACAAATGATGATGACTGCTTTTCCTTATATACTGAGAGTAAACAACTAGCTCCCTGTAGGATTTTTTTCCTCTGAGTTGTGTTTTGTCTTAGGCTCTTGATTTACATGGAGGAGGGATACTTTGAGAAAGAGTCTTAAAAAAATTAGCTGCTGCATTTACTGTTACAGTGTTTTAAAGAACTTGATCTAATTTACATTTGTTTTTTATATTAAGACTAGGTCATATATTTTGCTTGCTCTTCTGTTTTTGTATTATGATTTATAATTTATTATTTTTGCATTTATGTGATAATGATATGCTTTGATAATGATATGCTTTCTGGATTTTACCATAATTCCAGATTTTAAATGAATCAAATGGTAGAGTAAGGAGCTCCAGAAAATCCAGTCTTCCATAAAAGCAACAACAATACTGTCAGAAGATCACAGCTCACTGTAGCCTCAATCTCCTAGGCCTAAGCGATCCTCCCACCTCAGCCTCCCTAGTAGCTAGGACCACAAGCATGCAGCACCTCGCCTGGCTACTTTTTAAAATTTTTGTAGAGATGGGGTCTCCCCATGTTGCCCAGGCTGTTCTCAAACTTCTGGGCTCAAGCGATCCTCCTGCCTCAGCCTCTGAAAGTATTGGGATTACAGGATATGAGCAACTGTGTCTGACCCAGAGTCAACTTTTTTGGAACTCTGGTAACTCATCAAAAGTTTGTAGCAATCAGGGGAACGCTTAAGAAAACACACTGAATCTCAGTAAGAACAGTGAGCTTTGTGGCATTTGCCTACCCTGGTCCCATCTGCTTCCCAGCTCAGTGGTAGCCTTGAAAATAACAGTCTCCATTCCTGGTACTGATACAGGGAGCGGGATAGACCTAATTCAGAAAGAATTGTAATTAACTTGTTCTTCTATCTGGTGGCTTGCTAGAAGGCTGTTTTTAAAAAAAGAGGTCTGCCTTTATGTCACCTAACTTGGAACTCTTTTGATGGAAAAGTAACTACCTTGGGGGTGTTTGTTAAAAGTATTTACAGACATATGTTTAGTTACTGTTGCCTGAGGCAAAGGAAAACAGTTGGAGCAAACCAAAACTAATCAGAAAGGTTGGGAATGAGATGCTTTGGGGGAATAAGGGCTTTGAAATTCTCTGACATATTCTTGGGAATCTTGAAGGGTACATGCATGCCCAGAGCTTTGTGCATGCTCAGGAAAGACCCGAGAAGACCCAGAGCTCTCTCTCTGGCTCACTTTAAGTCTCTGCACAAGCAGGAAGTGAAGACTAAGGTGGAGTTACAAACTGCCTGGCTGAATATTGAAGGCATGTCCCAACACACAGAGCCCATGTGCAAAGACTGGCAGAATTTTTTGGTTGCGGAGGTTTAAGGAAATTTCTTTCTAATCACCAGCAGACTACTAACTAATGGAACAGAGAGTTCACTGGCCACACATGACAAAGAAACAGACTTTACAAAATTAGTTCAGATAAGTCATTAAATGAGGAAACAACTACAACAAACAGCAACAACAAATCCCTAGAAGGGGGAAACATCTGATTTATAGAGTTGTCACACTGTAATATTCGAAATGGCCAGTTTTCTACAAAAAATAATGAAACATATAAATAAACAAAGTAAGGCTCTTATACAGAAGAAACGAACAAAAACTGCCCCCAAGGAAGCACAAAGACTTTAAGTAAGCTGTCATTATTATGCTCAAATTGCTAAAGGAAACCAGGAGAATGATACACCATCAAATAGAGAATATCAATATAGAAATTATAAAAAGGAACTAAACAGAGTTTATAGCTGAAAAGTACAGTAACTGAAAGGTTCACTAAAGGTTTAGATAGCAGAATTGAGTAGACAGAAGAATCAGTGATTCTGAAGGTAAATTAATTGAAATATCCAATTTGAAGAGCAGACCCTTAGAGACCTGTGAGACACTGACAAGTGCAGCAACATGCACACCAACACAGTGTAATGAGAGTAACATAAGGAAAGGCGAGAGAGCTGGAAAGAGCATTTGCTATGGTGTGAATGTTTGTGTCTTTTTATATGATGTCTTTTAAATTTATATGATGAAATCCTAACCCCCAAGGTATTGGGAGATAGGGACCTGGGTGGTGACTGGGTCATGGGAGTAGAGCCCTCATGAATAGGATTAGCACTCTTAGAGTAGTAAGATCACTTGCCCTTCTACCATGTGAGAACACAGTGAGAAGGCACTCTGTGAATCAGAAAATGGGCCTTCACCAGATAGCAAGTCTGTTGGTTCCTTGATCTTGGACTTCCCAACCTCCAGAACTGTGAGAAATAAATTTCTGTTGTTTATAAGCTACCCAGTTGATGGTGTTTTGTTATCGCAGCCTGAAGAGACTAAAACTATTTAAATAAATAATGCTCAGAAACTTCTCACATTTGAGGAAAAACATTAACCACATTTAAGAAGCTCAAGAAACTCCAAGTAGGATAAACTATACCAAGACACATGATAATCAAATTGTCAAAAGGCAAAGAGAGAATGTTGAAAGCATCAAGAGAAGTAACTCATCACATACAAGGATCCTTGATAAGATTAATAGCTGATTTCTCATCAGAGACTCCATAGTCTTCTAGAGGGTAGTAGATTGGCATGTTCAGAGTTCTGAAAGGAAAAAAAAAAGCCATCAACCAGGAATTTTATATTCAGCAAAACTGTCTTTAGAGATGAATGAGAAATACTTTCCCAGATAAACAAAAACTAAGTTATTGCTGGCAGACCTGCTCTATAAGAAATGCTAAAGGGAGGCTTCTCTATCTAATTATTTATTTTTTCCTACACTCTGTTACTGTCTGTGTCTAGCTGCAGTAGTTTTAATACATTTTAGAATGACAGCTATTTTTCTGGTGGGAAACTTTTAGTTCTTTTATTCTTTGTTAATATGCTAAAAACTAGCCTTTTGCATTTATCTAAAAAGAGACAAACTTGGACATAAGAAAACTTTTTCATGTATATAAATCAGAGGTTCTTTACAGATTTACAAAGGAAATTGTGTGACTACAAGTTAAATTTGAAATGTGTGGTATATGTTAATTTCTTGCAGGAGAAGGAAGCCAACATCCTTTTGGAGCCATGAATATTGTCCGAACTCCATCTGTTGCTCAGATTGGAATTTCAGTGGAATTATTGGACAGTATGGCTCAGCAGACTCCCGTAGGTAATGCTGCTGTATCCTCAGTTGACTCATTCACTCAGGTAATGCAACACGCATTTCATTCTTTATCTCCCCCCTCCACCGCTTTATTAAGGTATAAGATACAAGTTAAAATCATATATAACGTATGGTATACAATACGTTTTTGATACATGTTTACATTTTGTTTTGTTTTGTTTTTGAGAGATGGAGTCTTCCTCTGTTGCCCAGGCTGGAGTGCAGTAGTGCAATCTCGGCTGACTGCCATCTCCGCCTCCTGGGTTCAAGCGATTCTCCCGCCTCAGTCTCCTGAGTAGCGGGGACTACAGGCACATGCCACCACACCTGGCTAAGTTTTGTATTTTTTTTTTTAGCAGAGACAGGGTATCGCCATGTTGGCCAGGCTGGCCTTGAACTCCAGACCTCAGGTGATCTGCCTGCCTTGGCCTCCCAAAGTGCTGGGAATACAGGTGTGAGCCACTGCACCTGGCCTGTATTTTGAAATAAAATCAAGCTACTTAACATGTCTGTCACCTCACACAGTCATTTTTTTGTAGAGAACACTTAAGATCTAATCTCTTAGCAAATTAAAAGTATACAATACATTATTAGTAACTGTACTCTCCATGCTGTACAATAAACTTTCAGAATTTATTCATCCTGTTGAACTGAAACTTTGTGCCCTTTGACCAACATGTCCTCATTTTCCTTTCCCCTCCACTCTTCAACCCCTGGCAACCACCATTCTACTCTCTGCTTCTGTAAGTTCAACTTTTAGATTCCACATATAAGTGAGATCAATCATGCTATTTGTCTTTCTGTTCCTGACTTACTAGCCTATTGTCGAGAGGAAAAACTGATGATGTAGGAGAGCAGGGAGAACTACTAAAGCAGTGTCTTTGAGTAGAAAATAGCAGCATATATGGAGGTGTTCACTTTAGACAGTATAACGGATATATGGGTACAGATTCAGATATGGTAGATGTGGTGATGAGAACTTGTGCAGGCTGTCTCCTGATTTCTTCTTCTTTCTTAGTGAAGTAGAAAGGAAGATCATCAGCTAAGATTGAGGTAGTAGAAATTGAAATTAAAAAAGACTGTTAAATAAGTCTTCTAGCAGAGGAGGAGTGAATGGATTAGGGAAACCATATGTGTTTGCCTGGCAGTACCAGAGGAGCACTTTTGAAGGTTGTGGTCGTGAATTTAAAGGTAGATTTGTCACATCTTTGAAAATGGACTAAATTGAGAATGACAGACTCTGGGTCTCAAAAATGTTTTTTTCCCCATAATTTTACAAATAAATTGCTGTGCTGAAAAGAAAATATAAAATAATCATAGTATCCTGTGTAGACAGTATTTAAAAAGTGTCTGGAAAATACACATTAAAATGTTATCCCTGGAGAAGGGTAAGAAGACTTTTTTATTGTACATGTTTATAAATGATTTGAGTTTTTAAAATAAAACTATAGTTTTAATTAAATGTATTATGAAGTATTTTAAATACAGAGAAAACAGAGTAACGTATGTATTCCACAAATAGTTATTATGTAACTACTCTGTGCCAGGCATGCCTTTTTTTTTTTGAGACAGAGACTCACTCTGTCACCCACCCAGGCTGGAGTGCAGTGGCGCGATCTTGGCTCATTGCAAGCTCCGCCTCCCGGGTTCACGCCATTCTTCTGCCTCAGCCTCCCGAGATAGCTGGGACTACAGGTGCCGGCTACCACGCCTGGCTAATTTTTTTTGTATTTTTTTTGTATTTTTTAGCAGAGATGGGGTTTCACTGTGTTAGCCAGGATGGTCTCGATCTCCTGACCTTGTGAGCCACCCGCCTTGGCCTCCCAAAGTGCTGGGATTACAGACGTGAGCCACCGCGCCCGGTCTGTACCAGGCATTTCTAAGCACGCATAGATACAAATAGGTCCACAAAATAGAGTAATACCTGTCTTTACAGAGCTCTCTTTATAATGGGGTATACATTAAGACTTCCATTGTCTTCCCCCTGGATTTAACTGTTATATTTTTGTCTTATTTGCCACTAATTTTTAAAAAAGAAATTAAGACGTTATAGGTATAGCCCACTGCTGCCTGCTTCTCTTCCTTTTACCTTCTAACATTTTATATCTTTCCTATTCATATTTTAGTACTTAAAACATTCCTGTGTATCCACAAACTATATATAGTACTATCTGTATGTGTTTAAACATGTTTCTAACTTAATTACTTAGTTACTCCAAATTTTTAGGAATATTGCATGTATTTGGTTTAAATAGTCAAATAGTTTTTGTTTTTTTTTAAATTTAAGTTCTAGGGTACATGTGCACAACGTGCAGGTTTGTTACATAGGTATACATGTCCCATGTTGGTTTGCTGCACCCGTTAACTCGTCATTTACATTAGGCATTTCTCCTAATGCTATATCCCTCCCCTTGCCCCCTACCCCACGACAAGCCCCCTACTGCATGTGTGATGTTCTCCGCCCTGTTTCCAAGTGTTCATTGTTCAATTCCCACCTATGAGTGGGAACATGTGGAGTTTGGTTTTCTGTCCTTTTGATAGTTTGCTCAGAATGATGGTTTCCAGCTTCATCCAAGTCCCTGCAAAGGACATGAACTCATCCTTTTTCATGGCTGCGTAGTATTCCATGGTGTGTATGTGCCACATTTTCTTAATTCAGTCTATCATTGATGGACATTTGGGTTTGTTCCAAGTCTTTGCTATTGTGAATAGTGCCGCATTAAACATACGTGTGCACATGTCTTTATAGTAGCACGATTTATAATCCTTTGGGTATATACCCAGTAATGGGATGGCTGGGTCAAATGGTATTTCTAGTTCTAGATCCTTGAGGAATCGCCACACTGTCCTCCACAATGGTTGAACTAGTTTATACGCCCACGAACAGTGTAAAAACATTCCTATTTCTCCACATCCTCTCTAGCACCTCTTGTTTCCTGACTTTTTAATGATCACCATTCTAACCGGTGTGAGATGATATCTCATTGTGGTTTTGATTTGCATTTCTCTGATGACCAGTGATGATGAACATTTTTCCCTGCATCTGTTGGCTGCATAAATGTCTTCTTTTGAGAATTGTCTGTTCATATCCTTTTTGATGGGGTTGTTTGATTTTTTCCTTGTAAATTTGTTTAAGTTCTATGTAGATTCTGGGTATTAGTCAAATGGTTTTTTTGAGACAGAGTTTCACTCTGTTGCCTAGGCTGTAGTGCAATGGTGCGATCTCGGCTCCTGCAACCTCCGTCTTCCGGGTTCAAGTGATTCTCCTGTCTCAGCCTCCCAAGTAGCTGGGATTATAGGCGTGTGCCACCAGGCCTGGCTAATTTTTGTATTTTTAGTAGAGATGGGGTTTCACCATGTTGGTCAGGCTGGTCTCAACTCCTGACCTCTTGATCCACCCACCTTGGCCTCCCAAAGTGTTGGGATTGCAGGCGTGAACCACTGCACCCGGCCTCAAATAGTTTTATATGTGAAATAGCTGTCCTCTGTTATGACTCTTACATTCTGCTTTTATTCTGCTTCTTAGAAGCTATGATCTTCAACTCCCCTCCCTTTTTTAACCTATTTTTCCTAGTGTCTATTATTTCCATGTATCAGAAAAAACCTTGCTTAATCTATTAGTTTTTCTGTTATAGATGTTTTCTATTTATTTACTAATATAAGACATGATGAAACTCTCACTTCCCCGCTTCCCAACATGTACACACTTCTTTTCTCCCCACCTTATCAGTATACATTTCTGTTAAATCAGTATTAAAAGTTTACAATATTATGAGAAATTAAATATTTTTCAGAACTGAGCTATGTGTAGTACAATGATTAAATTTCTTGTATAACTTTTCATTTTTCCTCATTTTTCATTTTCCTCTTTTTTTTCCTTTGCATAGATTTCTATGTTTCCACTTCTAATTTATGCTCAAACTCTACTAAGTGTAAATTCACATTCAGTTTATTATTTAAACATAGCAGTTTCAGATTGGTCTTGGAAACATTCCACTTGGAATTCTTTTTTTTTTTTTTTTGAGACAAGGTCTCCCTCTGTCGACTAGGCTGGAATGCAGTGGTGCGATCACAGCTCACTCACTGCAGCCTCAAACTCCTGGGTTCAAGCAATCTTCCCACGAGTAGCTGGGACTACAGGCAAGAATCACCAAACCCACAGTTAATTTTTTGTAGAGATGGGGCCTCATTATGTTGCCCAGGCTGTCCTTTCTTTTTTGTTCTACTGTTGACTGACTATTCTCTGGACCTGTCGAATAGCCTTAGACAAGGTATTATTTCCTTTCACCATTACTACAGAAATTCTTTTTGTTTCTCTTTTGTGTTGAATCCTTTGTTTTCTGGTTCCTCTGTTTTTCCTTCTTGTTGATTTGTTCTTTTGTTTGTTTTAAAAATGAATATAAATAGTATTATTCTGTACAACTTGCTGTTGTTCACTCAACATTATTTTAAAGATCTATGTTGATATATGGAACAGACTTTGTTTTGATTGCTTCATAGTGTGCCATTGTATAAATGAGCCACAGTTTTTTTCATTTCCTTTTCCATATGTTCTCACTAACATTTATCAGACCTTTAAAATTTTGCCAAACTGATGAGTGAAAATTAGAATATCATATTTAGTTTGTATTTCTTGATTACTGGTGATATTGAGCATCTTTGCACACTTTTGGACTGTGTTTGTGTTTCCTTTTATAAGAATTGACTTTATATATTTTGTCCAATTTTCTGTTGTATTGCTTTTGGCACTTTTTAAATTTAGTCTTTTGGGAAAAGAACCTAAGATGCCTTTATGTGTTCTGGATAATAATCCTTTATAAATACATTGCATTTTTCTCCTTCTAGCATGGTGCTTGTCTTTTAATATTGCTTATAGTGACTTTTACATACAGATATACTATATTTGTATATCAATAAATGTATTGTTTCTTTTATGATTTGTGGATTTGTGAGTTTTCTAATGTTTGAGAAATCCTTTTCTACCCTGATATGTAAAGATATAAAGATGTTCTCTTCTCTCTCTCCGCCCCCTTTGTGTGTGTCTGTGTGTGTGTGGAGATGGGGTCTTGCTATGTTGCCCAGGCTGGTCTTGAACTCCTGGCCTCAAGCAGAGCCTAAGATGTTCTCTTATAGTTCTTAAAGCCTTAAGGTTTACTTTTCGAATATGTTTGTGTGCAGTATGGTAAGGGAATTAAATTTATTTTTCCCCTTATGGAAAGCTAGTCCTAGCCCCATTAATTGAGTAATTAGTCCCTTTTTTTTTTTTTTTTTTTTACCATGAGTAATAGCATCTTTGTCATATATGCTTAGGTTTATTTCTGGGCTCTGTCTTTTATTCCAATTAGTTTATTTGCCTGTCTCTTTGCCAGTAGGGCAAGTTCCTCCTCATGGTCATCAAAATATGTATAGGTATTCTTCATAATAATTGTGTAGGTATTCTTCATAATAATTATATCAGCTTGTTGAGTTTCATGAAATAGTATTAGCTTGTCAAGTTTCATGACGAACCTTGTTGGAATTTTGTTGGTAATAACATTGGATATATAGGTTTAATTTTGGGAGATTTGGCCAGCCACTTTTACCACATTGTCTTCCCATTTGTGACATATTGTATCTTTCCATTGAACATGGTATATCTTTCCATTGAATATGGTATATATAGGTCCTTTTGTTTTCTTTTCCGTCAGTAGTCTTTGTATTTTCCACAAAAATCTTATTAGTTTGTCTTAGCATTTTTTCTAGGTATTGGAGAAAATGCTTTGTTTATATTCTGAATGGAATCTTTTTAAAGTTAACTTAAAAATTATTGTCACTGGTGTGGAGGACTGCTGTTGATTTTTTTTTTTCTCCTAACATTGATCTTTTAGTTGTGACTTGAGTCTGGGTACAGTGGCACATGCCTGTAACTCCAGCTCTTTGGTAGGCTGAGTTGAGAGGATTGCTTGAGCCTAGAATTTTGAGACCAGCCTGGGTAACATAGTGAGACCCTGTCTTTATAAAAAGATAAAAAATTACCCAGGCATGGTGGTGCATGCTTATAGTCTCAGCTACTTGGGAGGCTGAGGCAGAAGGATCACTTGAACCTGGGAGGTCAAGACTGCAGTGAGCCATGATTGTGCCACTGCATTCCAGCCTGGGTGACAGAGTGGGATCTTCTCTCAAAAACAAACAAACTGATAGTGACTTTACTGAACTTTTGATATTAATCAAGTGCCTTCACAGTACAGTCTCTTGGATTATACTGCCTTCATATTATTAAACAACCAAATAAAAAAACCTAATAAGACCACTTCTCTGGTGTAGAGAAGAGACAGCATGGCTGATTTCGTATTTTTGAGAAAGTGATGCTGGAAAGATTATTTTTGAGTGAGTAAAAGGCAGTATTACCTTCAGAAGTTCAGTTACTTTTAGGGTTAGTACTTAAGCCCATTTGATTCTCAGGAAATATGAATCCATTTACTTCTAGCTTCTACTAAGGAGACTTGGAGTATGTTAGTGAATTTGATCATTTTAGAGTCAAGGAAAAGAAACAGATTAGGAAACAGAGGAAACGGAATAGTGCTGCCTTCATCTTCTTTCCAGCAATGGAAATAACCAGTTGCTACTTTATAATATGAAAACCCTTATCTTTCTGGCAGGTAAAAGACTTCTTAGAGATGGTTACTATTTTATATGAGAAAATAGGTTGATTTGAGGAGAGTGACAGTTGAGGAGGGACATAGTGGATGGAGACGTGGAGATGAAAGAAAATATTTTGAAGAAAAAAATTTTTTTTCCCCAAAGTGAGTAGCATTGTCACAATGTCATTGTATGTATGATTACTCTTAACATTCTTTTTTATTCATTTATTTAATTTTGTTTTTTTGAGACAGGGCCTTGCTATGTTGCACAGGCTGGTCTTGAACGCCTGGCCTCAAGTGATTCTCCTGCCTCAGCCTCCCAAAGTTTTGGGATTACAGGCATGAGCCACTGCACCCAGCCAACTTTCAGCATTAGACTGTCTTAGAACTGACACTCCTTATAAACAAGTTAATGTGAGAACATTTTTAATTTAAAAATATTGAGTTCTAAATGAAGTATTTAGTACAATCCATTAATCTATTATTAACTTTTCAGTTCACACAAAAGATGTTGGACAATTTCTACAATTTTGCTTCATCATTTGCTGTCTCTCAGGCCCAGATGACACCAAGCCCATCTGAAATGTTCATTCCAGCAAATGTGGTTCTGAAATGGTATGAGGCATTTTCTGTCTCTAATATTAAGGCTTTTGTAACTGAATATCTATTTTGCCTGTGAATATATTCCTTTTTTGACATTTAAACATATTCTTTTATTATGAACATCAGCACTGCATGCCATTGAAGTATATACTATAGAGATCTGATGAGAAACAGTTCTTACCCTAAATATTTTGTTATGAATTTATAAAGACAGGAAAATATAACTGCCTTTGTTTTAGGGACCACTATTAAAGCTTATAAATATTTGCATATTTTCACTTAGAGGTACCATCTATGAGACTTGAAATATCAATCAAAACATTTTTTCTGCTGTTTTGAAGATCTTGATCTGTAGTAAACATGTACCTTTAGGGTACAAGAGTAGTTTATACTGCACCCTGAACATGAATGGCTAATGAATCTATTTTCCAACTTTCCTGTGTTTTATAGATATTTCTTTTCACTTTGAGTATCCTAGTGATGGGAGGATGCCTAGGAAGAGTTTGTTGAGAAGTGGTACCATGGTGTAGCATGGACAGCATTGGAATGCACTAGGTTTGAATTTTGGCATAATGTAGCTATGTGACCCTGAGCAAATTTCTCTCATCTGCTCATCTATGGAATGAGGAAATAGGAGTTCAATTTGATTTTTTCCCTTAGGTCCCTTCTAGCTCTTAAATTTGCAGAAGATAAACAATTACTAAAATTTCTTATGATTTGTGCTCTCTGGTAAAAGCTAATCAAAACTGCTCTGATATTTAAATTCTATGCTTGCCATCTTTTTATAAGAATAATTACATTTCCAGATTACCTATTTAGTTTTTTTATAGCTTTTTAGAAATGACATGTAAAATTGTTTTGGATAAGTCATTTGGCAGTTAATGAAAGATCCTATTTTAATTTTCTTGTGAATGTAAATATATGTGTTTTCTTTTCTAGGTATGAAAACTTTCAAAGACGACTAGCACAGAACCCTCTCTTTTGGAAAACATAATTTGAATAAAATAATTTTTAATGGATTCTGTAATTTGTCATGTTTTGAAGATAACTGACTCTATCTGAAAGTACGAAGTCAAAGGATCATGAAACCTAAGTGTAAAAACTGCTTAGTGACTGAAGCTTAATTAAAAATCTTTATTAAAAATTAAGAACATTGAAAAATGAAAATATGTTCATCATTAAAGACTTTTTTCCCCTTAAGCTTAAAATACTATTCAGGGGCAAAACATTTTGTTTTGGCTATGATTCATTTTTTTACTTAAAAATAAAGCCTATGCCCAACAGTAGTGTGCCAAGTACCATTGCATGTGTAATCATTCATTTATTGAAATGAAACAGTGGTTTGCTGGAGTAGTTAACTTTTCAATTACCTATCTCAAAATTTGGGAGACTTGAAAAACATATGAAATACACATTTTTAAATATGGAAAAATTGTTTTCAGAGATTATTTCCTAAGATTGTCAGTTTTTCCAATTAATGCAGGTTGGCTGTCACTTTTTATATCTGCAGATTCATATGTGTTTAATAAAATTGCCATATTGGTGAGCTTTCATTTAATACTGGTAGGCATTTATGTGTAGAATATAGGATTCTTCTTGTTAATGGACGGTTAGTAGTTCATTTTTTGTTGATTACAACAATACCCAAAACTGGGTAATTTATTGACTTAATTTTTTTTTTTTTTAGACGAAGTTTTGCTCTCTTGTCCCAACTGGAGCGCAGTGGCGTGATCACAGCTTATTCCAGCCATGACCTCCTGGGCTCAAGTGCTCATCCTGCTTCAGCTTTCCATGTAGCTGGGACTGCAGACGTGCACCCCCACATCCAGCTAATTTTTTTGATGTTTTTGTTGTGTCTTACTGTGTTGCCCAGACTAGGCTCGAACTCCTGGGCTCAAGCAATCCTCCCACTTCAGCCTCCCAAAGTGCTGGGTTGGTAATTGATAAAGAAAATGATTTTTTTTTTTTTTCCTACAATGATGGAGACTGAGAATTCCAAGGCCAAGGAGCTGCAGCTGGTGAGAGCCTTCTTGCTGGTGGGGAAGAAACTCTGAAGAGTCATTAGGCAGTGCTACCTATCACACCGTGAGGGGGCTGAGCATGCTTTTGTGCCAGCTCAGGTCACTCTTCCTCTTCTTATAAAGCCACCAGTTCCCCTCCTGTGATGATAACTTATTAACCTTTGGGCAGAGCCCTCATGATTCAATCACCTCTTAAAGGCCCCACCTCTCAGTACTGCCACATTGGGGTTAAAATTTCAACATAAGTTTTGGAATCTAAAACTGCTCTTAAAAATAGTCTATTGGCCGGGCGCGGTGGCTCAAGCCTGTAGTCCCAGCACTTTGGGAGGCCGAGACAGGCGGATCACGAGGTCAGGAGATCGAGACCATCCTGGCTAACACGGTGAAACCCCGTCTCTACTAAAAAGTACAAAAAACTAGCCGGGCGAGGTGGCGGGCGCCTGTAGTTCCAGCTACTCGGGAGGCTGAGGCAGGAGAATGACGTAAGCCCGGGAGGCGGAGCTTGCAGTGAGCCGAGATTGCGCCACTGCACTCCAGTCTGGGTGACAGCGAGACTCTGTCTCAAAAAAAAAAAAAGTCTATTAAAAAAAGAAAAAAGAAGGACCTTTGTGGTGAAACGACTGAACCATTGGGCTTTTATCAGGTTTTTTCAGCCATGTAAAAGTAGGTTTGCATCCATTGACAGATGAATGAATAAACAAAATGTAGTATATACATACAATGAAATTATCACTCAACCTTAAAAAGGAAGGAATTTCTGACACATGCTACATGTAAGATACACAAATGAAATTAAAATGACTTTACAAAATAATTATGCTGTTTTTTAACTGATGTTTTTCCTAGAGAACTTGGAAGGCCTTTGATTATTTTTATTGGCTTTTACATTTATTTCACAAAAATTCAAAAAACCTTTTTAGTATCTGAATTGTGAAGTACAATTATGTGTACACTTAAAAGTAAAATAGCATTTTATAATTTTTAAATGCCATTACTGTTTTATGCCTGTGCTTTTGTCAGTTTCTCAGTCAAACTGTTACAGCAGGTGGCTAGTCAGGCATGAGCAGGGCAGGAGAGGGCTTCGCCTGACCAAGTATGTCAGGCAACCACGAGGTGATGGTCAAGGCATTATTAACTGTCTCTCTGAAATAATAATTGGTCACAGCCAGCACCAGGGAAAGTCAGTCTTCTTATAGATAGAAAAAAATTGAAACTGGTGATCGGTACCTTCCCAATAGGATCTCAGGAGCTGGGCAAATGGGCTCAAGTTTGTGCATTGACAGGTGAAATGGCAGGGTTTAACTGGTATGTGACCTTCTGGGGGCATTCCACCAGTAAAGGGAAGAACGCCTCAAGTGAGCGTGCCTACAACTCCAATATGCACGCTGCACATGCTCACCTCCCAAGTGCTGGCAGGCCACTGTGCATGCGGCAACCCACCCCAAGGGAAGAATCAGGGGAGAAGGGATGCAAGACCCTGAAAGTATGCCAGCATATAAAACCCCAAGTCAAAAGGTCAAAGTGCACACTTGTCCTTCAAGTTGCCCACTTGGCCCTCTGCCAAGTGTACTTTCCTTCCTTTTGTTCTTGCTCTAAAGCTTTTTAATAAACTTTCACTCCTGCCCTAAAACTTGCCTTTGTTTCTCCTTCTACTTCATGCCCCACAGTCAAATTCTTTCTTCTGAGGACGCAAGAGTTGAGGTTGCTGCAGACCTGTATGGATTCGTCACCTGTAACAAAATGGTTTGCTTATGTGATGATGATTATTCTCAATAATGACAAGCCCAAATTACAACTGACCATTTTGTCACAACTGATTATTTGTTTGTTTTTGAGATAGGGTCTTACTCTGTTGCCCAGGCTGGAGTGCAATGGTGCAGTCTCAGCTCACTGCAACTTCTTCCTCCGAGGTTCAAGGGATTCTCCTGCCGCAGCCTCCCAAGTAGCTGGGATTACAGGTGTGTGCTACCACACCCAACTAATTTTTGTAGTTTTAGTAGAGATGGGGTTTCAACATGTTGGCCAGGCTGGTCTCGAACTCCTGACCTCAAGTGATCCACTTGCCTTAGCCTCCCAAAGTGCTGGGATTACAGGCATGAGCCACTGTGCCTGGCCACAACTGATTATTTTGTTAGAGCCTGACCCAGAGAATCCATTACCAGTTTTAGTTCTATAGGTTTTTTCTTTAATCTCCTGTTTTCATGAACTTCATCAAATACCTAATTGAGCACTGAGGTTCAGTCCCAACAAATGTTTGATGCTGTCAGAGGCATGTGAACCAGAGCAACTCCATTTTAAATAGGAACTAGGCAAAAATGGGGCTGCATTCCCAGATGGTTAACGCATTCTTAGTCCCAGGATGAGATAGGAGGTTGGCACAAGATACAGGTCATAAAGACCTTGCTGATAAAATAGGTTGTATTAAAGAAGCTGGCTAAAACCCACCAAAACCAAGACGGCAATGAGAGTTACCTCTGGTTGTTCTCACTGCTACACTCCCACCAGTACCATGACAATGTCATGCCATGGCAACATCAGGAAGTTACCGTATATGGTCTAAAAAATGGGAGGCAGGAATAATCCACCCCTTGTTTAGCATATCATCAAGAAATAACCATAAAAATGGGCAACCAGCAGCCCTGAGGGCTGCTCTGTCTGTGGAGTAGCCATTCTTTTATTTCTTTACTTTCCTCATAAACTTGCTTTCACTTTATGGGGCTCGTCTTGAATTATTTCTTGTGGGAGATCCAAGAACCCTCTCTTGGGGTCTGGATCCAGACCGCTTTCCTGTAACAATACCCTTGTAAACCAAGAATAAAATTCTAAGCCACTCAGCTTACTGAATGGACTCCTTTTGGCCAAGGGGATCCCAAATAAAAAACTTGTTAAGGCCATGATGGGAAGTGGAGGTTGAGGTCAGACATGCTTTGTTATGCCCTCTTCCCTTTGGAGTTTAGGCACAACTGACCAGCATTAACATTAAAATAGAAATCATAAGACTGATAAAACAGACTGTTGTTAGTAATAAGATACCCGACTCCAGCCTGACTCTCTGGTATAACATCACATGACAGTGGCCCTAAAGGAAATCAAAGTATTTTATTCCAAAATATATTTCTTTGACATATTTTGGAATGGCCCTGCAAAGCTGTCTCCTGTGGGGGAAATTTGCATTCTTTAGAGAATCCCCTTCTCTTTACAAGTCTTTTCCTAATCCAGGAGAGATTTAATACCTTTTAAGGTCTGATAGACATTTATTATCTATTCTCCCAGAAGCCTGTTACTTAGAGGCTTCATCTACATAACAAGAACCTTGGCTTCCACGTGGTGAGGTAGCTCATGCTTATAATCCCAGCACTTTGGGAGGCCAAAGCAGGTGGATCACGAGGTCAGGAGCTCAAGACCAGCCTGGCCAACATAGGGAAACCCTGTCTCTACTAAAAAATACAAAAATTAGCCAGGCATAGTGGTGTGTGCCTATAGTCCTTGCTACTTGGGAGTCTGAGGCAGAAGAATTGCTTGAACCTGGGAGGTGGAGGTTGCAGGGAGCCAAGATCGCACCACTGCACTCCAGCTTGGGCAACAGAGTGAGACTTGTCTCAAAAAAAACATAATAAATAAATAAAAAGAACCTTGGCTTCCACAACCCCCCTTATCTTAAGCATTTCTTTATGTTGACTTCCATTTCTCAAGCAAAGCTTAATCCTTTTAACCAACTGTCAATCAGAAAATCTTTGAATGCATCTATGATCTGGAAGCACCCCTCCACCTGAGAGACAGGACTAGCTGGATTTCTTAGGCCAATTAAGAATCCCTAAGCCTAGCTGGGAAGGTGACCGCTTCCACCTTTAAACACTTAGGGTTTGCAAGTTAGCTCACACTCGACCAATCAGATAGTAAAGAGAGCTCACTAAATGCTAGTTAGGCAAAAGCAGGAGGTAAAGAAATAGCCAATCATCTATTGCCTGAGAGAGCACAGCGGGAGGGACAAGAATCGGGATATAAACCCAGGCATTCGAGCCAGCAAGGGCTACCCTCTTTGGGTCCCCTCCCATTGTATGGGAACTCTGTTTCCAGTCTATTTCACTCTATTAAATCTTGCAACTGCACTCTTCTGGTCTGTGTTTGTTATGGTTTGAGCTGAGCTTTCGCTCGCTGTCCACCACCACTGTCTGCCACCATCACAGACCCGCTGCTGACTTCCATCCCTCTGGATCCGGCAGGGTGACCGCTGTGCTCCTGATCCAGCGAGGCGCTCATTGCTGCTCCTGATCAGGCTAAAGACTTGCCATTGTTCCTGCATGGCTAAGTGCCCAGGTTCTTCCTAATCGAGCTGAACACTAGTCACTGGGTTCCACGGTTCTCCTCCATGACGGCTTCTAATAGAGCTATAACACTCACCACATGGCCCAAGATACCATTCCTTGGAATCCGTGAGGCCAAGAACCCCAGGTCAGAGAACATGAGGCTTGCCACCATCTTGGAAGCGGCTCGCCACCATCTTGGGAGCTCTGTGAGCAAGGTCCCCCGGTAACACGCCCACATCCCCTACTCCCTGCTTTGAGATAACCTGCCTTTTATACTTTACATGTATTGATTTTTGTCTTTGCCTATAACGTCTGTCTCTCTAAAATGTATAAAACCAAGCTATAATCCAACTACCTTGGGCACATGTTTTCAGGACCTCCTGAGGCTGTGTCACAAGCCATGACACTCATATTTGGCTTAGACTAAACCACTTCAAATATTTTAGAGTTTGGCTTTTTTTTGGTCAACACCTTCAAGCCTCAAATAACAAAAGCAGTCCAATAAAGCACTGAAGTGAGGAACAGTTGTTACAGGAAAGGGGTCCCAATCCAGACCCCAAGAGAGGGTTCTTGGATATCATGCAAAAAAGAATTCAGGGCGAGTTCGCAGTACAAAGTGAAAGCAAGTTTATTAAAAAAATAAAGTGGTGACAGAGCAGCTACTCCATTGACAGAGTAGGATGTTCCTGAAAGTAAGAGGAGGAATATGTCCGCTCTAGGTACAATGCTTGTATATATGGGGAGATGTGCTCCACTACAAGGGTTTGTGATAAAGGATTAATTTTCTTAATTACTATATTTTGCAAGAATTGATATTATCATCTTTAAAGCAAAATCAGGAATGCCTTTGTTCTCCAGATATCTGGGTATCTGGACATTCCCAAGTGTGGGTCTGTTTAGGAAACATTATTAATTTGTTCCCTTAACCATAAACATTTCGAGGCTAGGAATGCCTAATTTTCTGAGAATGCAGCCCAGCAAGTCCCAGTCTTATTTTCCTAGCCCTCACTCAAAATGGAGTCGCTCTGGTTCAAACGCCTCTGACACAGTGACTGAGTATGCCCTTGGGTATGCGCTACTTATTTTCTAGTGTCAACTCTTTCGTTGACAGTGTATCTGTGTTTCTGAGAAAGGAATAGCCCGGGGAGTCAGAAAGGGAATCAGCCTTACAATCTCTCCAGCTACTGATACTTCTTCTCTATAGTGAGCCACAGTGAGGGGGAGGGCAGTCGGCAGCCATATGGAGTGGGGTTCTGCTTCCCTGATCCAAAGAGGTTATTGTCTCTGTGTACAAACTAGACATTTATAGAGCTTCAAGCTGCTCTTTACTAAAGAGTCAAGTGAACGTTCCTGAGTCACTTGGAGTCCATAGGCGGAGATCAGGCATTCAGCTTTTGGTCTGGTCTCTCCCACCTCTAAGCAAGAGGAGGGCAGGACCTCACCTCATAAGCCATCAGATGACAGGCTATCTCAGGAGCAATTCTCCGTTTCTTTTAGACAAGCCACGCTTCAGCCCTCAGAATAAAGTTTCAGCCCCTAGTTTCTTTTGCATTTCATAGATTTTCTTGCTTAATATACCCACTGAATGTACACATGTGTTCTTCCTGCTTTTTTGTCTCCATTTGTCTCTGCAGGGAGAGAGATTCTGTAAAGAGAGAAGAACAGGGGGAGTGCACTGAGTGCTTTCCAGCTGCAGCTGGTTTCCCCCTAAAGTACCACAAATCAATGTGCCATTATGAGGATTAATTGAGGATTAATTTTCATTCCATCACTATGCAATCTAATCTACATTAGAAGCATCTAATCTTCCTATTGACATTTGTCCCTTTCTTTTTCTGGTTTTCATTTCAAAGGACTCTCACATGAATGGCACATGGCTCTACTTAAGCAACCTGGTTAACTAAAGCTAGGATTTAAATGTTTCTCTTTAATCCTCAAGTTTAATCCTCTGATAATGGGGTGGAAGGGTGGATAGTTTCCTTTTATGCCACCACACTAGTTGGATATTTAGTTGTTTTATAAACTTCTAAGCAGACAAGTCCACAGATATTAAGCAGAAGGAAATTACTGGAAGACTGTTGAGACGCTCAGAGTGATGGGAGCTAGGACAATCAGACCTGGAAATGGGCAGGAATCAAGAGGGGATCTGGGGGATTGGCCATTAGGAACCCAGGCAATTTTTTTAAAGCAAGATAGTGAAAAGCGTATACCATCCCTGTGGGAATAACTTCCACATTTTCCTGCTGTCTGCCTGTCAACAGCTCAACAGTCTGAGCCCCAGAAAGAGCATCTGATGACTGATATTGGGTCACATACCTGGCCCCCGGTCCTGCAGAGTCAAAGAGGGCAAGGGTGTGTTTCCTTCGGCTTTGGTAATGGAATGTAGTTACCAGGAATGGCAGCCCCACTAAGATTATACACAATGTAGATCTGTGAATTCCAAAAGGAAATACGGAGGCTCTTAGGGCAGCCAAAACAAAACAAATGCCAACCAAAACTGTTTTTTTCTTTTGAGACAGAGTCTAGCTCTGTCACCCAGGCTGGAGTGCAATGGCACGATCTCGGCTCACCACAACC